TTGGGTAGAGTTTTCCTGTACAAAGGAGACTCTGCCCGATTTTGTTAAATTATGAATCCCGATAAACAGGACACAACGGTGTGGTATCGAGTTATACGATATCCACAGGCATTTCGTGGGTTGATGGGCGATCAACGGGACCTCTGATTTTTGGGGCGTCACAAAGAGAGAGAGATAGCTCTAGGATAGGTATGGTAGCTATAAGAGAGATAGATATGTAGAGGTGTGTAAAGAGATGCCCCTCCGATGTAGAGAGAGCTTACAATTTATAGGCACATAGCTTTAGTTTTGATGGTGGTTATAGAGGGTAGGTTTCTAACTTTTCAGGGAGGATAGCTACAACTGGGATAGGTACACTTAGAGATAGTCTTGATCTTGGAGAATGATATCCCGATAATTACTCCCTAGGTGTGCTAATCTTCTTGGATCCCTTTGACTTTGAACTGGGCCAAATTCATGATCTGGACTTGGTCTGTTTTGTAGCTAATTTGGGCTTACTTAATTAATTGGGCCTGCCCCAATAAAATCTGGGATCATCAGAGTGTAAGAGGGAAAAGTTACAAGTAAAATGGAGCTTACTATAATAAAAATGGTGAAGAAAAATTTAAAACCCAATTTTTTCTCTCTAGAACTTCTTCTTCAACCTTGGACCTTCTCTCTCAAAAAGCTTGATCATCTGAAATTGTGTATGTGAAGTGCCATTTTTGTCCATCCCCCTCTTTCTTAGTATAAGTGGTTGCCTTGGAGTGATTGGAGAGAGATTGTCCACAAAATCTTCCAAAAATAGTCAAAGTATAGTCCTCCCATACTTTTCCAACCACTCCTTGTGTCTACATTGGCCACCCACTCCCTCATGCTTAAAATCTGAATGTTGGGGTTAGGAGATCATCACGGAGTGTTAAAAATGTCAGAACATGGATTAGGTGACAAAAGGTAGGCCCTGTTGTTGGTGGACTCATTTGGAGAAGGATATAGGTTTTCTAGGCATCTGTTACTGGTAGCTCATACGACTCCTCTTAGTAGATCATTTCCAGTAGGGTCTTCTATCAGTAGCTCTATGTTGGGAGCTACCGACAACACAGTACAGGGAGCTACGGAAAGATCATTTCTAGTTTTCGTAAATTTTTCATAGCCTTTGATCCCACCTTCTGATTGAGCTGAACTTTTGACACAAGATAGAGAACATCTAGATCTAAATCTTTCATGTTCTACACTTTTTCAGATTCAATGTGGAGCATAGTCAAAAATGAAAAATACTAGAGTACCATTACCTAATGGTGTGGGTACCGGTACCAATATTCAGTAGGCTTAAGTACCGGAACTTATGATATGAGGTACAGCTACCTTCTTGATTTATTTCACTTTTTAGCCTTCAAATCCTCATGTAATGTGTTCATCTCTTCACCAGTCATCCACACTTAGTTGTAGGGTTTCGAAAGCCGTCATTTACCCTATGATTACCTACAACACCAAAATTTTCACATTATACACAAATTTGACTAACTCCAAGTAATTAAATGCAAAGTTAAGTTAAAATGCATATAATGAGGCTGTTAAATATGCAATATTACACGCTCATTAATAGTCTAGTACCCCTTGGGTACACAGACTCTAATTTTCAGTTAGATAAAGATTCTAAGAACTGTACCTTAGGATATGTGTTTACTCTATGAGGTGGAGTCATAGTTGGAAGAGTATCAAACAATCTTGTATTGTTGATTCCACCATCAAGGTTGAATACGTGACAACCTCTAAGGCAGTCAAAGAGAAAATTTAGCTCAAAAACTTTTGTATGGATTTAGAAGTGATACCTTTAGTAAGATCGATTATTACACTTTATTGTGACAATAATAGCGATTGCTAATTTAAAGGAGTCACGAACCCATACAAAGGGGAAACAAATTGAGTGTAAGTATCACCTTATACGAGACATCATAGGAAGAGGTGATGTATTTGTTTCGAGGGTGATTATGGGGGTCTGGGCATGTCAGTGTGTTCAAGGACCACTAGATATAAGAAAGAGGCACAGATGTTTAGGTAATGTTTGATCGACCATAAAATTTGATGTGAAGCCAAGTATACATTGTAATTGTGGCAACTAGGTTTCTGGTTAAGATGAATGCGGGGGATATCATTAAGTCACCACATATGAAGAAAGTACTGAGAAGCAAGAGAAAATATACGAGCTAATATAATAATAAAGTTATAAAAAGGACCAAGGTAAGGAGGTTTTAGATGAAACCAAGATCATACAAAAATGTTGATGTTTTTTTATAAATTTGATATCTTGGGGCGAGAGTCGTTAATTTGGCATGTTATTTTGTTATTTCACATCTATAATAATATGGAACTTCGGCGCCAAGTACAAAGTCCTGTAATTTTAAGGCAAGAGGTCCACCCTACACACTTTTAAGGCGAGTGGTCCACTCTGAAAATTTTTAAGGTGAAAGGTCTAAAAAATACACAATTGACAAAAATACCCTTCAATATATATAAGCGGCTACTATACAAAAAGTCGCTTTTCCAAAAAATGACATCCTCATTCCCACAAAATCGCATTGTGCCCAAACGATTCACTCAAAAAATTTTGTATTTCAAAAATTTCCAATATATAACTAGCATCAAATCAATAGTTAATCAATTTTACAGAGAACCATTACCAAAACAACTGTTCTTCGACAATGGCTAAAGCAAAACTTTTTGATTTCCAACAAGAATCATCTACAATTTCCATCAATTGCTATTCCATTGTTCCTGAAGAAATCTCTTTGTTGCAGTGAATCATTCTACAATATAAGACTTCAAGTAAGTGGTTTCTAATTTCTTTGAGTTGTTTTCTTCCGTAGGGTTTCAGAGAAATTAATTTTCATTGTTTTGATGAACATATAAAACACAAAAAGATTAGTTCACCTCGATTAAAGTATAGTGACACAAAAATAACCTCTACAATTGGTTCACTGACATTCCCTTGAATAATCACTAAATTAATACACCAAATGCAAAATATAACCCTAACATTTTTTATTGTAATATAACTGATATATATGTACATCACTAAATTCCATTTTATTCCTTATTAATAGTAAATATAATTTCGTTCATAGTCTCGTTAAAGAATCACATTTGAAGATTTTTTTTCCAAATGCTTCAATGTGTGGATATAATCAAAAAATCAAAAAGACCTTACTGCATAAATAACATTTATGATTCACTGTCTGGTTTAAGAATTACATTTGAGGACCTTTTTTTGCATATACTTCAATCTATGAATATAATCAAAAAATATAAAGGACTTAATGCATAAATGACATTTTTGGTTCACTATTTGTTTTAAAAATCATGTGTGACAATTTTTTTGCATATGGTTCAATGTATGGATATAATCAAAAAAATAAAATCCCTTTGTGTACAAATGACATTTTAGGTTCACTATCTTGTTCAAAAATCACATATGAATAGTTTTTTCATTATCTAGAATCAAAAAAGCAAAATCCCTTGGTACATGAATGACATTTTAGGTTCACTGTTTGTTAAAAAATCACATGTGAATAGTTTTTTGCATATGGTTCACTATCTGGATAAAATCAAAAAAGCAAAATCCCTTCGTGCATGAATAACATTTTAGGTTCACTATCTGTTAAAAAATCACATGTTAATAGTTTTTGCTATTGTTCATTGATTGGATATAATAATAATAAAAAAAGTCTTACTTGATGAATGACATTTTTGGTTCACTATCTTATTCAAAATCTTAACAAATGTAGGAATGGGCAAGAAACAAGTTCCAAAAACAAACTCGTATCAGTTAAGAAGACATAGAGCTGAAAAAGATAAAAATACCACCACAAAAGAACGCGTAGTAGCCACGAGGAGAAAAAGTAATTACCTACCCCAATATAGATAAAAAAAACACTCATAAGGGCAATTAAAAAATTGGAAATTACTTGTAGTCACATTGAACAACTGAAGAAAACTCCATTATGGCTGCTATTTGAGGCAATCATACATAAAAAAAAAAAAAATTGAGCAACATATGACTATAAAAATAAGGATGACAACATTGTCTCTGTTGTCCAAATGTTTGACAAAAAAACTCTAGTTTCTTAATTGGGATGAAACAACTAAGAGTCACTAGTGATGATGTTGCATTAATTTTCGGAATACAAGATGGTGAGAGAGAGGTTGATGTCTCAAAGACAAAGAAGATCGACTTTGATTTTGTTAAAATAAGGTTCTTGAATCAAAAGAGATTAAAAGAAATGTTGGAAGAGGTATCAAAAGAAAAAACAAAAAATGATGTTGAAGACTTTGCAAGAATTATGTGTATGCATGCATTTGTCACATTGTTTTTTCCAACAAGTGGTCAAGTTCTTGGTTGAGGATATGTGCAACATGTTGATGATCTAAAAAAAATGAAAACATATTCCAAGCCCAAAACAATTTCTGACACAGTGATGAACTCGATGAACCTAAAATATTGAAACCCACCAAGAGTCACAGGCTTTGTTCTAGCACTCCTAGTAAGTGTTCTAAAAAATGTTGTTTCACTTATTGTTCACTATAAAATATAGTTCATATTTATAACAATATGATTTGCTCACTATTACCAAAATTCATTACACTAACAGGTATTGTGTAGTATTGTTAGTGTGAACACAAAACAATAATAAATCCAAATAATCGACCTGCACTTCCTAGGTTCATGAAATGGAACCTTAGAAAGTTGAATGCTGGAATAAATGCCAATTCACTGGATCACTTAACTTCTTAACAGGTAAAACAATCCCATTTTATGTCAAACAGATAGCTTTCTCTTCCAAATCATGAACTTGTTCTTACATTTTTTATTCTACAATTGTCATAGAGGTGAAACTGAATAAGTGTAAAAGAACAAAAAATGAAAATGAATTCTACTAAGTGCAGGAAAGTAGAAGAAAAAAGAAGTTCAAGTGGAAGAAAAAATAGAAGAAGAATTGCAACAAACATCTAAAGAAACCGAAATGCATCAAGCAGAAAATAATGACGATGAAGAATCTGATGACGATACAGAATCTGATGAAGATGAAGAACATGAAGTCCAAGATATCGAAGATGAAGAAATGCAAATAGAAGAGAAAGAAAAATCAGAAGAGGAAGACGACAATGAAAATATTGTGATAAAGAGCAGAAAGAAAAAAGGGAAAAACCAAATTTTGATAGAAAGTAGTGAAGAATCAAAAGAGGTGGATGAATGGAGAAACCATGCTCAACAAGTTTATGACATTGAACAAGATATTGAACAAGTAACCAATAAACAAACAAAATCCAAAACATTAGAACAATTGGATGAAGTCACAAACTTGACATTGGAAAGAGATGCAACAATAAAATTAAATAGGTATCTGAAAAAAGAATATGATACAATAAAGGAACATATTGAATGAATGAAGGCTGATATTCTTAAAAAAGAAGAACAGAGTAAATAACAAGATTCTAAAATACTGATATTCAAAAAGGAAAAGGAGGAAGCAATGAAGAAAAATGAACAGTTGATTGAGGAATGTGAAAAAGTAATGGAAGAGTTGATCTTTATGAGAGTTGAGAATAAAAACTTGAAAGATCAGATTGAGAATATAACAGTAGAAAGTGAACAAGAACATAAACATACTAAACATGCAGACAGTGAACAACTCAGTGCTGAAATAATGATATTGAAAGTGAAAAAAGAGAAAGCATTGAAAACAATTGAAAATCTGAAGAAAGCAATAGAAGAAATATATTTCATCAGGGATGAAAATGAAAAACTGAAGAATGAAATTTTGAAGATGAAAAAAGATAGTGAACAGCATAAACAAGATAGTTCACAACAAAAAAGGTGAATTAGCAATATTAGAAAAATGCATTGGAAAGTCTGGAAATCTCAATTGCAAACAAAAATAAGAAAATGAAACAGTTGGAAGTCTTGGTCAAAAGACTAAATGATGACAAAAAATCTCATGACATAATCTTGGATGAATTTGTAAAAAATTTCAAACAGCTATTAGACGAGAAGAAATCTCTAAAAGTTCCGTTGGATGATATGGTTGAACAATCTGTGACACAACAATTAGCAAAAGAGAGAAAAAATGATATTCTAGTAACTGAGAAGAGATCCGTGTGAAAGGCGATAAAGAAGAAGGAAATAAAGAAAAAAAGAGACTTAGACTTCCAATACTCCACAAAGAAAAGCAAAGAAAGCCAAAGATTGTAAAAAATCCACCATTTATAGAAAAAAAAATAAAGAAAAAATGGTAAAGGATCCAAAAATCATGAATGTGGATGACATCCAGTGGCATATTGAAAGAGATTTCAAAAACATAAAAAAAGACCTTCAACTCAATTTCACATTGTTAGTTTGCAAACTTCTCAAAAAAGAAGATTTTGAAAAACTTCAGCTAATAATGTCAAAGGAAGGAGAATCATAAGTCAAAATACAAATTATACTTAATTAATATCTCTACAACTAATATACACTTATACTTGAACATCCACTCACGCACGACACAAGTATGGAATGACTTAGAAACAGGAAGATACATTGGAATGGAAGACATACTCCTACTACTAAATGACTTGCCCATTGCAAATAATGTGAATACATAATTCAAGTTATTTTTGATAATTCAAGAAATATAATAATGATGAATTCATGTTATTTTTGATGTACTAATATTTTTAATGTTCAATGTTCATATTCAAAAGGTTATAGACTGCTGGGTAGAGTTACTATCAGAAGAATGGGACAAATCTGACAAAGAAACAACAATTGAAAATTCTTGTTTCTTCAACAGTTTATCTTGGGTAAGAAAATCATTCAAAATCCTATAGTTTGATACAATAAATGTCAAGATAATGAACTTCATTGACAAATGTAGACAATGGTGATATCCAACAAATTTGAACAATGCTAGGTTCAAGCGAGATCGACAACAAAATAGAAGACACCAAAGACATATATAGATACCTCCACTTCCCAATGAATTCAACATGATACAACACTTCAGCTAAACCATTTCACTAGACATTACTTGTATTCGACCATGAGGAATGAACGTGGAAGTACTATAACTCGATGAGATGAAGAACAAAGAATCACCATGATGTTTGGTTAGATGATGCAACAAAAGTGGTCAGCTTAATGTACTTTTTAATGTTTCACATCACACACTTTCATATTCACCGTATCACAAAAAAATAACAAATTTGTAGAAACAATATGTTGAGAATGCGATGAGAAGAGTGTATCAGTAGCCAAGCCCAGAATCATAGCCAATAGAGACTCAAATGAGTTCATTTAATTTCTGAATCATGTCAATGCAAAATAGCCCACAACAACCCTTAGCCTTGTGAGTATAAAAACAACTTACATATTACATATCACTTCAATTTTTACATGTACTAAGAAAATAAATACATTACAGGCTTGATTCCGATATCTATATGTGCCATAACATGCAAAAAATGGTACGAGGGTACCCCATACAACCAAATTTGATAGAGAACCGTATCAGACATCTAAGGCCGATAATGATTGCAAGGTTCATCAACCATCCAATGTAATGCTCCAAAATTCGGGGTCCTTTCTCAACCCGTTGATCACCCATCAACTCGCAGAATTACTTGTGAGTGTTGTATAATCTGATACCACGTCGTTACACCCCATTCACCAGGATCATAACCAAAACAGAATTTGGGCAGAATTTCCTTTGTACGGGGGCACTACCCAACATATAACATGCAGACGTATTAACCATACAACCTTCCAAGGTCCATATCCCAGAATATAGGCTTATTATTATCCATTTACATCATCCATAGAAGTGCACTCAAGATGTGAAGGCTCAGTGATGTTACATTTCAATTTTTCAAGTTTTGGGAAAAGGTACCGGTACCTATGATAGGTGGTATCGATACCAAAGCCTTCTGTTTGTTAGGTACCAGTACCTATGTGACTTGGTACCGTACCTAGGCCCATTATTTGCTAGGTACCAATACCTGATAGCCTAGATATCGGTACCTAAACCTACTATCTATCAGGGTACCGGTACCTAAAATCCTAGGTACTTTTTACCTACGCCCACTAGAATCCAAGTACCAGTGCCTGTGAGCCTTGGTACCAGTACCTGGGCCTTCCAACGGCGTGGTACCGGTACCTATTCACTTAGGTGCTGGTACCTAAGTCCATATTTTTCCCAAATTTCTCCAATTTTTATCCCTTAATTATCCAATCTCATATGACATTCATTACATTCATTCTCTTACATAAAACATTGTCCAATGGTGTCCCTTTACATGGCTTGTGAAATCATACGTTTTCTACAAAATTTACAAGGCCAAAATAGAATTTATAAGGGACAATTACATATTTCAAACCAAGAGCCACAATCTGGCTCTTTCTTCAACATGGGTCCAAGTGAGGTCCATCCACTGAGGCTTGTCCTACACCTAAAATATGTCCCCATAAAGGGTGAGCCATGTTCAATAGGGTATCTCCTAAGGAGGCTACTCTCAATCCCAGATGCATACGAAATGTCACATGAAAATTTATCACATCAAGCATCCATTCAAGAACATACATTTCACAAATGAATGCTATTTATCCATGCCATGTCATGAGATGGAACTCATACATGCAATGTAACCCCTAGCCTTCCATTGCCTCCCATAACACACACAATGTCATGCATATGCATCCGGGCATTCCAAGGCCTTGCCATTGATGCTACACATCCAATGAATATTCATCAACTACGTGTCTTTGTTGGGTAGGTAATTTTTGGACTTCACACCAATAGTCTACCAAACTAGCATGACATTCAAGAGCATAGCACCTCCGGCTCTGAGTACACCAGCACACTTTTTTCGAAATTGCACCTTCGATCAAGTGAGCGAACCAAGTAATTGAGTCTTGCACCCAAGGGAGAATCTATCCCTTCTTGCTATACCTGACATAAGTTTTCTATGCAATATTTTGTGCAACTCAATTGGACCTTGATCCAAACTTATCGAGTCCACCCATCAATTCACCATGTGATGATTGACCAACCCATGCACCCACACACTCACATTCATGCCAATGCCCATAAATGTAGTGCAACCCGTGCACATGCAAATTCAATGTATAATTACATTCCATGCCGTTAAACAATCAAATTGTGTAATTGCAACTTATGCTACATGCTCATCATATCAAAAGGCATATAGTGAACATATCAATTTTCATAGTCATACCCAAATTCCTCATATGTCAATTATATCATAAAGCATATAATAACATTTCATAGCATCACTAAGCATGATATAGCATTTTCCATTCTAATAACACATAATCATCCATGGACATTTTATCAAACACCTAGACAGCACAAATGTAAAACACATAGCATGCCTAAACAACACATCCTTCATGAAATTCCAAACCAAGAAACTTCATCAAACTCAAATCATACAAGAATTGCTAACATACTCTCATACCCACTTTCCATATTCTAGCTACACTAGGTGTATGCTAAATAAAAGAAGTAATCTCAAATCGTCCTACCCATTTCATATACAAACCTAGGTTAAAAATAAACCTAGTTAGGAAAGGAACTCTACCTCTTGTAGCATAAATCCACATAGAAGAAGTTCCAAAAATTTCAAATCAAACCTCAAAGCTTTAACCCAAAAATCCTGCCTTTTACATTTTGGAGCAAACGCCCGATCTTTGGTATAGCTGCGTAGCTCTCGTCACGTAAAACAACTTTTATTCTTGGCTGGAAGAGATCAACAGTCGGGTCGCCATAGATTGGAGGTAGAAGACGAAGAAGGGTTTGGTTTTTTGCTTTTCTTTTCTTCTTTCTCTCTTCTCTCTCTCTCTTTTCTAAAATACTAAAGATAATGGGGAGAAAATTTGATTTTGCTCCACTGTTTATACCCTCCAATGCTTGGCCCTCATTGAGCCACATGTCCCATATTTTTTTGATCTGATTTTATCCAAATCAATTAAATCTCATCCTGTGTTAAGATAAATACATTTTTATTAAATCAACTTTGAATTATTTTTTAAGTTTCGTAACTAAATTCTAATTGCGTTTATTTTAGTCGTGCACTATTTCGTAAAACGTGAAAAATCTCATCTATCTTAGAATTCGACGAAAATTGATTGGATAACTAGATTTTGTGATATGAATCCAACAGTGAGGTCCATTTCATCATTCGAGTTTAGAAAAATTTTAATTTTTAACCCGTACCATAAATGCTAATTATTATTTTGCCCTTTTTTTAATAAAATTTTAATTTTCACTGGTTTACATCCAAGATCGTGGACTATCGCAGAATATGCAACAAGAAAAATGCTCCTACTTTAATTTGATCTGTTAAAAAATTTGTAAATGTTTTTGGGTTGATCTGATCAAAATTTGTGTATGTTTTTTGGATTAATCATATCACAATATGTATAAATTTTTGGTTAGATGCTTTAAAAATGTCAAACTCTAAAAAAGAACAATTAACAGTTGTTGTACACAGTGAACTACATTAATACGAATATAACTTTTTCGTTCACTTAAGACAATCACCTACTACAGTGAACAATGCAAGACTCTTTATGAAGTAAAATCCTGATGAGGCATTCAAGTTTTTCGATGCCATTTCTGAGAGTTCCCAAATATGGGACTCAGTCTCATCAAATATTGTTGAAACTAAGCCTTCTTCATCCTAGGGAAGAAAATACGTGTTAAAAGAAGATGATGACCAAAGGGCCAGAATGACTACTTTTTCTCGAAAGTTTGAAGTTGTAGATATGAAAAAAGTCAAGGAAGTTTCTGTTGTCTCACCCACTGATCAATTATGTGGAATT